CTTGCCATCGTCATCCTTCTCTTGTCGGGAGTCACGGCTGAAGATGGTCTTGATGCCGTGTTTCTCGACGTTTTTGTCGCCCGAAGTACGGTTGCGCAGCGAACCCCCCTCTTCTGTTTGACTGGGCTTGCCATATGTGTACGTGTCGCTGCTCAGCCCATCTTCAGTTCCCGTCCGAAACTCGTCTCCAAGACCTCTTTCCGAATTTGCTGGACTCAGAGAGCGAGGCACGTCGACTTGATTGCCAGGCGCATTGGGCGTTGTAGAAGATCTAGCATTTGGTGTCGTCGCCGCGTGTCTCACAGACGGATTCACTCCAAGTTCTTCACCCCTCTCTCTCGATGAAGAAGGCCGATAGTCATTGGGATCGTCGGTTCTGGTAACGGTCAGGGGCGAGCCATTACCGTCGCCGTTCTCAATGCGCCGCAACGTATTCGATCTGGAATTGGGTTTCCATTTCGCAAAGGGATTTCTGATGGGCAAATTGGCTTCGTCATTCGGATCATTGTACCACGCGGCAACTTTGGCCTGGTGGCGAAACTTGTCTGCGTTCTAGTTAGGACGCGATGCAGAGTCAATGGGTGTGTGCAGGGTTACTGACGCATTTTTCAGCACTCTAACCTCTGCGCTCTCCTATTGAATGTCTCGGTTGTCTTGAAAGAGCGATATTGAACTGTGCAAAAGACCGCCAGATTTTTACAATACAGTGGTGTGGGTGGACAAATATGGTCAAGATAGATGGGCCACAGGGTGGGATGTGTGGTCGCTGCCTTTTGAGATACGTGGGAGGATGTCAGAGGTTGCACAGCCCCAATACAATGCAGCAGGGAAGACTGAAAAGCGGTAATGAGCGTTTGGCGTAACACTAGATGTGCAGTGAGGTGAAAGGATGATGATGGTGATGATGCAAAACAGGGAAATCGGGCAGAAATCAAGAGTACCGAACCAGTAATTGAAAGGGGGCCCCTTGGCGAAATGAAGGGAGGTTTGAGAGAATTGCAGGGCATGGTTCAGCTAGAGAATGATCGGTAAACTATAGCAAACGCGGAATGCGATCTGAGGATGGGTAGGACCGAATAGTGTGTCTGTCTGTTTGTCTATGATGAAACAAGGGGTTTGGTATTCCTCTTCCTGGTAGGATACGGGGTGGTGCAGGATGTGGCGATGGTGGCGGAGGAGGCACGAGAAGCACCTAGGAAATAGACCAGGTACTGAAGGGGATGCCCATCAACACCCAATGCGCACGCACAATGACGAGGGACATGCCCAAACAACCCAATCTAATTTGTTCTCTTCCATTGTTCAGCGCCCCCAGTGCCTTTGGTAGCCACATCCACTCCACTTCTCCACTGTACAGTTAAAGCCGGGCCTATGGATGCATTTGATTCCCCCCATTAGCGCCACCCGAGATGTATGTGGTGCCTGGAGGCCCCATTTTATCCCGGGCGCCGATCCCAGTCCAGCGTCATTCTGTTTTTGTAGGACGTGAATGTCACAGGGGGCTCAATCGCATTACACTCTCTTTTGGGCTAAATCAGCGAGACAGCTTCTTGTAACAAAAGGAGGTGAGATGTAAGATTCCTGCGGTTCCTCTTGGATTCTTTACCCTGGTTGAATGGTTTGAAGCTTTAGCCTTGTCCGTTTGGCGGGCTGGGCGTCATCCAGGTGGGAATTGCTTGGACGTTCTTAGGCATTCTTGGACACGCTTGAGGCATCTTGGTTAAGCTTGAATCAACGGGGACTGTCAGCCCACAAGTACGACATTGTGAATGCTGTTATCATCTTATACGCCGCAACGGATACAATGCCAAATCGATATCAAAAACTCCTTACTTACCACCTGAGTGTAATCAGATTACCTCGTACTCGGTACCACAACTCCCGCTTTTAGTCTTCTACTGGTGTGCCTGGCAAATAACCAGCCACACGCACAGCCGCACCGCCACGTCCCTCTCACTTTTCTTTTGCCTAAGATTACGAACCATGACCAGATACTCTCCAGGCAACACTTACGAATATTGCACTTCCAAAACTTCCCAATTCACCGGCCACTGTCTAAAGGCTAGGCTCCTCACGTGCTAATGTACAGCGCATGCGCCTAAATGACTCGCGTGCTTGTCACGTGTCAGTTGTTCACGTATCAGGTGCAGTCACGTGCGGGAGAAACTCGAATTAATTCATCTCGGAGCTCAAATACTTGACTCACTGTGTTTACAAAAAGCACATCTACCCCCAACCTACACTACGTGCAGCTGAATTCTGATATCTCCGGTGTAGGCGGAATCAGGTACCATAACCAGGATGGCATTCCTCTGCTTTTTTCTTCTAGATTTTTCTCTTCCGCCAAAGATATGATGCACTGGTTACTAGGTGACCGGATTGATTTCTTCAGGCATGGCTCACATTGTAGTAAATCGGACGGTCAACGCGGCGCCGTGTCTAACCGTCAGAACCTTTCTGAGTTCTTTCTTGGAAATCTGGGGAAAGCAGGGGTTGGAGCGCGACCAGAGGAGACCGGTCCCAATAGGTTTGCTCTACTATCATTTGGACAGGACTCTGCTGATAGATCCAGGTGTATGCGTCAGCGGAGGCCCCGACTCTATGGCGTTGGCATACTTGCTCAATGAGATGAACACAGTGCCTGGAAAGCACAATGTTTCCGTCCAACCATTCGCCTTCATCGTCAACCACAAGGCTCGTAGAGAAAGCACCGATGAAGCCAACTACGTTCAATCTCAGCTACGCCGTCTTAGTATGTCTCTCGAACTCTGAACAGAGTCACGCTTACGGTCCCAAGGCATTGATAGCGAAATCCTCGAAATCCAATGGCCCAACAACATTGATCCAGCGAATACCGCCGATTTTGAATTGAGGGCTCGGCGAGCACGGTATCGGCTGATTGCAGATGCGGCGATTCGGAAGAAGATCCACCATCTTTTTTTGGGACATCACCAAGACGACCAAGTTGAAACAGTCCTGATGCGTCTCGTGCGCAATGCTGGGACATCATTTCTCGGGTTTCAGGGCATGTCAGAGCGTAGCACAATACCGTGCTGTGAGGACATTAGGGGGGCAAACGAAATTGAAAGCTACGAGAGATTTGCGCGGTGGCTAAACCCACACGACCCGCGAGTAAATCCAGAGACAATGAACTCGAGGCTCATCAACCAAGGCAAAACCGTGACGCCTTCTGTGCCGGGCGGGCTGCGGATCCACCGACCACTCCTGTCGTTTGCGAAATCTGCGATCATTGACTTCTGCAACACAAATCACGTTCCGCATGTCCAGGATAAGACAAATTATGATCCTACACTGACACTCCGGAATGCTGTGCGGTATATGAGGACCCACTACACCTTACCCAAAGCCTTGCAAAGACCCTCCATCCTCTCACTTCAACAGTCGTCCTGGCGCTTTGCTACTTCCCTCGCGGCGCGAGGGGAAAAGATTCTTGAAAAACTCAGAGTGCTTACTTTCGACCTGCGGTCCGGTCGTATGACTGTACGAGTATCGCCTGCTTTTATCGCTCTGTGCGAGTTGGATTCTGAAGCTGGGGCATATGCTTTGGCGAGACTGACAAGTGTGGTAAGCTCGCAGTCGAGAGATGAAGAGCCAACCCTTGTACCTCGGCATAACCTGAGGCAGTTCCTGGACAAGAACCGATCTCGATTACGAGAGTGGGTGACCGTGCAGCAGGTGTTACTCGAGAAGTCAAGCACTGGGCTGGATGCGAGTGAACATAGGGCGACATCCGGATTCCGAATGGAACGGCAGAGCGAGTTTAGCGAGAGCTTTTCCGATTATGAAGGGACGGTGTGGACGCTATCACGTCCACCATTACGTCTGGCGGAAATCACACGTACATCAAGGAGCTTTTCCCTTGACATCCGACCAGGCAAAGTCGGCAATGAGGGTGCGGGTCCAATCCTCCAGCTGGAATGTGCTAAGAACTGCAACCAGACAGGGTTTTGGTCCCAGTGGATGCTTTGGGATCATCGATATTGGGTGCGTGTACGGACAAAAACTGCCGAAACGCTTTCCCATATCCGCATTCGCACTTATTGCGAGTCCGATGTACAAAGTGTGTACACAAGGCTCAAGGATAGGGGCTCAGAGCTTCAGTCCATTCTAGCAGAAGCAGCCCCAGGAAAGTTGAGGTTTACAATTCCCGTGCTGACAGTAGACGGACAAGTTTCGGTGTTTCCGACATTGAATGTCGTCGTGGGGGGAAAGGACTCAATGCATGTTGACTCTGGACTGGCAGATCACTCAGTCCTTGAATGGGAAGTCTGCTATAAGGTCATCGATCTGCCATTTATCAATGCCCATCGGGAAATGATTCATTGGAAGAATGCGCAGGTAAAACGCCACAAGTCAGCCAGTGTCTCTGTTAGCGAGGCCGCGAAACCAACTGAGAGTACACACACTTGATGATCCCCTGCTGAACCCAAAAATGCTTAAGGAGAACGCTCGAACATATCCAACCTTCTCATAGAGACATTCCAGCAGCAACACTATCAGTCGGACAAGATACCTGGCACTACATTGTTCGACGTCGCTATCTCGGAAATACCCCAAGAGACAATTACAGGAATCGGTCGATGATGAGCCGGCGGATGACCGTGAAACTGATGCAGAGCGCCCGGCTAGACGAATGCTTGGGTAGATGTTGGCGAAGCTGAGGCATGGACGCAGTGGGTGCCAGCTACCCAGCCAGCTGGTGTCCAAGATGCTGACATGATGTCCGAGAGAATGCCGAATGGTGGACTCCGTGCCACCGGAAAGCTGCAAGATGATTGCTGGTCATCCGGGAGGATCATACTTGGTCTTCCCCACACGGGGTCTTCACGCGTCGTCATGTCAATCCACCAGACGCGGAGAGGAGGTGGAGATAGTGGCCTCGGCCATTGGCGAAGTCTATATATCTCGAATTTGCCGCCGTTGCGCCGGACCGAGCGTTGGCTCAATCTCAGTTTCTCATCGATAGTATCAGCAGCAAAATGGCAACTCAGGCAGTCCCCGAAGCGCTGACGGCGCCAACACAAACGTTCAAGAATGTTCCGCCATTCCCAGAGGATGTGCCAACCGCACCCCTCCTACGCCTGTCTCTGGCCAAACTGCTTGACCGTGATCCTGAAGAGGTGAATCGATTCGTGCGAGCCTGCGAAGACCTCGGATTCTTTTACCTAGACTTGACTGGGCCAGGAGACTCTTTGCTCGCCGATGCAGATCAACTTTTTAAGGTTGGGGAGGAGTTGTTTGACCTTCCACTAGACGAGAAAAAGCAGTATGACTTCCAGAAGAAGGGGTCGTACTTTGGCTACAAAGGGTTTGGTGCCAATGTGGTTGACCGAGATGGCAATCTCGACCGCAACGAGTTCTATAATGTGAGTTGAGTCAGTACCCTAGTGAATATGAGACGAATCCTGATCAACATGCAGGTATCCAAAGATGATATGTTCGGGATCATGGATCCGATACCTGCTCCTGAAGTTCTCAGCTCACGACGGCCCCTTTTGAAATCCTTCATGTCCTCAGCTCATGGGATTGTCACACTGGTGCTAGAACTGCTTAACGATCACCTCAGACTACCACCCAATACATTGCAAGGCATGCATCGGCTCGAGGGCCATGCGGGGGATCAGGTTCGTTTTATCAAAGCTCCGCCACAGCCTATGGACGACAGACGGACCGCGTTGGGTGAGCACACCGACTTTGGAAGTGTCACGGTCCTCTTCAATCGGTTGGGTGGTCTACAGGTCCTTCCCCCTGGACGAGACGCACAATGGTGCTACGTAAAACCTCTCCCTAACCACGCCATTATCAATCTGGGCGACGCAATGGTAAAATTCACAAATGGCCTTCTCCGGTCCAATATACATCGCGTGGTCTCTCCACCCGGCGAGCAGGCAGACCACACCCGATACTCCCTGGTGTACTTCAACCGACCAGAGAATGACGTGTTGCTGAAACGGTTGGAGGGCAGCGAGATGATCCCTCCATTGGATGAGGGCACAGTTGAAGAAGAAATTAATAGCAAAGACTGGATCTTGAGACGAGCACTGGGTCATCGTATTGAACTGTTTGGGAACGATGCTTCGAACTTCGACAAAATCCAAGGGACGGAAAAGATCAGCCAACGTGCATACCTGTAGAGTCTGGATGGGCGTGGGTATGACGAAGTGGGAGTCACTCGGTTGTTTGTATGAACCATGTTGCTCAGTGATTCATGTCAATAACACATATTTGAGTCGATTATTCACGGTGACTCAGACATTGTAGGCTGTGAAGTGAATGGAGTCGTGAATCACAATGAATCGTGATGGTGTCTCCAAAAATGTCGGGCCTCGACCCAAAAGGGGATTAGCCTCCCTGCGCACAATAGAGAAATTTCGATGATTTTTCTCACTTCGATGTTGTAATTATTGTTCATTGTTCACCAACGATTGATTGCATTGGGCCAAAAGCCTGGTGCGTCAAGCTCCAATCTTCAGGTCAACCATACTTGCTGCATATTCGTATTCGTTCGTCCACATTACTACGTCTCATGTGTCGAAAGAACACCCCCATTTACATCTGCCTACCCGGCCATGTTAACCCCGCCACCTCAGGCCCGTCGGCCTGTTCTACCGGCAAGCATCTCGACTCCTTCGCTTCCTTCAAAAACCATGAGACCCCAACCTATGCAACGGAGATCAACCCTGAAGCGGTCAATCGATGAAACCAGTTTCATGGAGACGCCTTCGAGTCCCTCCAAACGCTCTCGCGTGACCTTTGATTCCGACGTCGAGATTGTGTCCGCAGACGATGATGAGGACCTTGATCCCCTGGTGGTCAAAGAGCAAGTGCGGAGAGCCATTGAAAGACATCGGTTTAGAGAAGACGAGGCATACGAGCGTGTCAAGGGCTATTTCAATGCCTCCCCGGACAAACCAAACGCACCCTCCACCAAGGTGCTCAAATTTCACCTTCAGGCTCTCCTGGCCAATGTCACGTCACTCGACAAAGACTGCAGCGGCTTGGTCGATGCAGTACTGAATAGCGAGTGGGTAGGACGGGATGATCAGTACTATGCAATTTTTGTCAGATTCGTCAACAACCTGGCTGCGGCGCAACGCGGCTATCAGCGCAAGATCATGTCGGTCCTGGTTGACCTTTTGGGACCTCAAAAGACACGGCGCATCGACAGCTCAACCCCCGTCAGACAACCAAAGATCCATCGACGAGTTCTGCAAGCCATCCAACACATCACCGTCAATGTCCCTTCGTCACCTGCCGCTCTTGCCGATCGTGTCGCTTCCCGACTCCAGTTCGATTTTCAGAAGGCTGAGGAGCGCATGACCTACATACGAAATTTTATGGAGATGATCAAATATGTGCCCGAGCTCACATCGGAGATTTTGACATGTGTCTTGCGAGAACTCATCAAGCTTGACGTTTCGGTTCAGGTTGATCTCGATGACGAAGAGGAGGATGTCGAAGACGATTTACTTACCCACATGTCGTCTTCGCAAACACTGGTTGCGCGCTCATCTCAGGACATGATGGCTGGCGGGCTCGATGATCAAAGTGATGATCTAAGCACCAGTGATGAATCCGAGATGGATGAAGACGAAGATACTGACCCGGCTGTCGCTCGTCGCCGTAAACTGAAGGAGGATATCAAACAGATTGACCTGATTATGGACATTCTGTTCCAATACTACGCCAAACTCACCACTTCTGCCGCCCTCCAAACCCGCGATAATGCTGTTGAGCAGCTTATCTCTCAATTTCACACTCACATCCTTCCGACATATCGGGCGCGGCATCCGCAATTCTTGGTCTTCCACTTTGCCCAAGCCGATCCTATCATTGTCGATCGCTTCGTCACATCCTGTGTCGCTGTTCTTGTCGACAAGAAACAACCGCATCTCCTTCGACACAGCGCCGCCGCCTACTTTTCGGGATTTGTCGGCCGTGGTGCCCATGTCTCGCCGCAGGTGGTGCACGACTGCTTGGATCTGCTCTGCGACCATCTGACCATCTTGCGAAAGTCATACGAGCCCACATGTCGCGGTCCCGACCTGAAACGCTATGGCGATTTCTATGCCGCCTTCCAAGCAATTCTGTACATATTTTGTTTCCGCTGGCGAGACATCGCCTCTGCCAACTCCGACGACGAATCTGACATTGACGTCGACGAGGATGAGGCCGAGACGTACCATTTTGCCGAGTCACTCCGCGAGTCACTTCGGGCGGCAATCTACTCCCCGCTCAACCCATTGCGCGTCTGCACCCCGGTCATTGTCGAGCAATTTGCCAAGCTGACGCACGCCTTGCAATTGTTCTACGTCTATCCGAAGCTCGAAGAGAATAGACATGTGCGAGTTACTGGCCACTGGCGCGGCGTGTCCGATTTGACCATCAGCAATCCAGACCGGGATTTGAGCTGGGTTGGAGACAATGGGATGTTGGAGGGGTATTTCCCGTACGACCCGTACCACTTACCCATCAGCAAGCATTGGATCGAGGGAGATTACGTTGAGTGGAAAGGTATTCCTGGGGAGGAGGCCGAGGACACGGATTCTGAAGATGATGCGGGCATGGATGTTGGGGGAGTCGACGAGGATGACGATCTTGATCACGACTCAGACGACGAGTGATCTGGTCATGTGCGCGTGGACTTGATCTGCCTATCGACTTGCTTGTCTCTTTATGTCATGGTTTCGCAACGCACCGAGTATTCACAGCGTCACGAGAAAAACGGCCTGTCTCTTATTGCAAAAGGGAAAGGGGAAAGGGAAATGGCGTTGGAATTGTGTTTGTTTGGACTGTCGCGTTCAAGCGTGCTTTTTCAAGAGCTGTCTATTCTTTCTTTGCATACGCCCAAAAAGTCGGAGTTGGTATGGCTGGACGGCACGAAAGAGTTTTTTGTCCATGTATGGTCCGAAATGGTTCCAAAAGAGAGGAAAAGAAGGATGAAGATGAAAATGACAAAAGTCCAAAAGTCTAATCTAGAAATTTGAACGAATTGACAGATCTTGAATTTTGTCTGGCCTGTCAGAAAGAAGTCATTGCGGCAAACTGGGAATATCGTATCGAGTACGAGCGAAGTGACTCGTAAGACGTGCCCGGGAACTGTGTTCATAACGGATTTGTTCTGACCTGACCCGATCTGATCTAATCCTGCCCTGGCCTGGCTACAGCCCGATCAAACATGACGTGGTCTACAGATCATACACTACCCGCCAGTCATGGGAGAAGTCGTTGTGATGTGGCAATAGAATAGAACGAATATAATAGATTTAAAATGCGAGTCGTAGAATGGAATGCATGGAGTGAATGACCATGAATGATATTGCGTGATATCTGAAGAATGCTCAACCTCCCAAACAAACCGGGCTCGAAAAGGAATCAGTAACAGGGTATCTTTTTTTTGGTGCAGTTGTATACTTGTACGAGTACGAGTGCACACCAGGATTCGCGGGGATGTGATATTGACGTGATACAAGATATTGACGTTGTATAATATGGCAAGATGTGATATAACCTCACGAGTCGAGACAAGACAAGATATGACAAGATACAACGAGACGCGAGAGCCAGCTCAGTCCAGCTCAGACGCCGCCCCTCCTGAACCAGGCCTCCAAGCCCGTCTTCCACGCGCAGAACTCACCTTCGACCTGCGCGGCGATTTCCAGCGTGCCCGGCTCTAGCCCGAACGTCTCGGTCGACACGTCCCCATCGTCCCCGGGCCCGGCCCCGGCACGCATCTCGGTGTGGTCCATAAGTTCGTCATGCATGGCGGCGTGGCGCTGGAAACGCAGGCCGTCGACGTCCCCGTACACGACGTGCCGGCTAAGGCGGTGGCTCTCGGAGATTTTGATGGCGCGCACTTTGTCCATGCCTAGCGGGCGGACGTAGGCGCGGACCTTGTCGAGCGCGTCGACCATGGCCTCGGAGCGGCACTTGGAGAAGAGCCGCTTCTTGGTTGTCTCGTCGAGCGTCCACTTGAGCGACTGCACAGACGCGGCGGGCGTTTTGGAGATCTGCGCGAGCAGCGCGCCCAGCGGGTCGAAGTCGCGGAACTCGGCTTCGATCTCCATGCTCGCTTGGTACTGCGGCGTCTCGCGCGAGAGCAGCGACCCGGGCTTCTGCCACGAGTAGCTGCGGAAGGTCGTCACGGAGAGGTCCGCCACGGCGGGCTCATACTCGATGTCGCCATTGTTGGCCGACGCGTTGACGGTGGGGAGCTGAGCGAGCGGTCTAAGCACGGCCAGGACGTCGTCGGCAGTCTTGCGCACTTCATCGGCGACCTTGTCCTGCTTGGGCCCCTCGGCGTAAATGTGCAGGGACACGACGGCCCGGTTGGCGGGCACGGTGATGCTCGACTGCCCGTTGAGGTGGACCGAGATGGGCTTTGGCGCCGAGAGGTACGAGGGGATACCGAGCACGCAGAGGACGGTGATGATGGACTGTTTGAGCCAGGACGAGGCGATCATTGTCGCGACGAATTGAGCTGTGGTGAAGAGAAGCATAGAAATTGTTGCTCAGGTCTTTTGTCTTTGTTTTTGACAGCGCTTCTCCTCCGAAAAGGCCACTGAGATGATATGTATGTTTGTATGGTTGATTGATCTCAAGCCCAATAGGTCTCAGGACAAGGTGGTCATAATTGCTTCTGAAGGGCGAGAACAGAACAGATGGCGTTTCTTACCTCAATCAAGCCTTCATGATAGCTTTGTTATTCATCAACTGTAGCTACTCGGAAGAGTACACGAGGCCAGATGAACCTATATAGGTGGCGTCTTCAAATGTTTAGGCACCGGCGGAAAAAGGCCAAGGTGTTTGTTTGAAACCCGTTACTCGCGAATCGGAACTGTGACAACTCAGAAAGGGAAAAGAATGTTGATGTCCTGGCCCCAGGCATCCGAGATTGTCATGTTTGTCGTGTTTTGCTTGTTTTCTCTGTTTGTCCTGTTTGTCTGCGTTTCTTCTACACCCGCTGTCCTACTGCATGTTTTTTTTTTGCTGTAGGTACTTACAAAGCTCCTTTCTCTACATTTCTATCGCATGTTTCATGTAACAAATCCGGCTTCTATTCTCTGTTTCTTGTCTGCACTGTACGGACGACCGATTTCCTCAGGAACGAATGAGGCATTCCGCGTACCATATGAACCAAACGAGGAAGACGCTGGACGCTGAATCAGATACCGCGATATGAGCCTACCTATTCAGACTTATTCTAATATCCAGGCCATGAGTCGTCTATGTAATTTTGAGCCTCCTACCATGCAGCCCCTTGAGCTTGATACACTAGCGACCTACTTATCTACCTACCTACCTATTCCGTATCCACCGTGTGTGGTGTTGGACCTCGTCGAGATTGACTTCACACTTGCTCGGTATGCCGCGGTCCATCGCTCTTCTCAGTAACCGCTGCAATGCCTTTGGTCGTCTCGACCGTGGAGTCAGGGTGGACCACGGTACCATCCCTACCACTGACCACGAGCTCGTGCGTGTTGTGGTCAATGTGGATGTCCGAGGCGTAGACCATGATGGTTTCGGTGTCGCCAAAGAGTTTGGCCACTTCCTCGAGTGGCACGCCCTTGGTCTCCGGCAGGAGGAAGAACATGGTGATGGTGCCGACCCCGCAGATGATGATGAAGACCTATGTACGTAGAGAGGTTGTAAGATATTATTTCCCGCAGTTTTTTCCTGGTGTGGAAAGAGAGAACAGCCAGGCTGGTGCAGAGGGCGGGCAGATGGGTAGGTGACGGTCACGTACCAGGTAAAACTTCCAGCCAATGTTGGCAAATGCCGTGGCAGTAACTTGCAGATAGACAAGGTCGGTGAGGGCCACCACGGCCATGGACATGCAAACACCTGTTTTGTAAAGGTGACGTGGTAAGCAACTGCGCATTTTGCACGTCCCCATAAAAAGAGGTCCATCTTACCTTTGGCACGCAGATGATTGGGAAACACTTCGCTATAAAACACGATTCCTGCAACGTCGACTCCACAGCTGTAGACGACCTCGAACAAGAACAACGCCGCGACTCCCATGGCCAGACCCGAGGTGTTGTCGGTCCCTGCAAAGCTAGCGACCATGGCCGCCTCGATGATGAGCCAGAAGCAGCACCCTCCCACGCCGAACAACATCAGCGGTTTTCGCCCGATGCGGTCCATGAACACCGCCCCGATCGCGTTGCCGATGATGGCCGTGGTGATCCAGCCGCACTGCAGACGGAGTTGGTCCTCGGTGCCGTAGCCGAGACTCTTGTACAGCGTCGGGCCGTAGTTGTTGATGACCAGCACCCCGGTAGACTGGCCGACAAAGGCGAAACCCATGGCCAGGATTGTTCGCTTTCGGTACGATTTCTTGAAAAACATGTCCCACTAGAGTGACAAACAGTTAGGTTCGGGGGGGGAAAGCATGGCGGATCTGGATGGGGCGAGGTGGTCAGGTATGTTTGTGTTCTGCTCACCCATGAAACCGACAGGGTACGATCAAACTCGGCCTGCTTGCGCATCTGATAGAACTCGCCTCGCGCGAATTCTTGGTCCTCGTCGCCCGGGATGGCGTGGAGCCGGAGCACAATCTTCTCCGCTTCCTCCTCGCGGCCCTTCATGAGTAGGTATCTCGGGCTTTCCGGGACGAAGGGAAGCATGGCGAGCATGAGGAGCGGGAAAAAGAGCGCAATCCCCAGCGGACCACGCCATTGGGCTTGGGGCTCTTTGACGTAGAAAAAGCCCATTCCCGTGTAAGCCGCGATCGCGTAGCCGATGGCAATGTTGACGCCGTTGAGGCCGACGAAGAAGCCGCGCAGTGCGGGCGGAGCAAGCTCAGCACTATATGCAGGCGCTGCAAAGATGGACATTAATACTCCTTTATTTTGCACATTTCGTGGTGTACAAATCTGCACTTACTGACTGCCAGGAAGCCCCAGCTTCCCATGCCGGCGAAGAACCTGGCGGTAATAAACATAGCCGTGCCGTTTGAACCGCATATCAAGGCGCCACCAAGCAAGGACCAAAAGGAGCAGAAGACGACGCCGGCCTTTCTGCCCCATTTATCCATGATATAGCTCACTATCATGATGCCGAAAAATGCCCCTGCCTTTGTCCCATAGTTAGATTCATATGCTTGACTTGGATCAACTGGGTTGGTGGGAAAAGGCGCAGGGTGTTTCAAACCTGGAAAACACCAGACATGGCACCCTCGAGCTGGTCGGCGTCACCGGACGGCAGGCCCGTGGTCGGGCTAAGCAGCTTCATGTAGACCAGGAAGCTTGGTTCGCCTAAGGTCGTGCTAATGATGGAGGCCGGGTAGCCAAAGGCTACTTGGCCAAGAGAGACCAGCCAACATATCCAGAAGTTGTACCAATTGAACTGGCGGACCTGTGTCGCCATACTGAACTCTGCCCACGGGATTGGTTTCCACAGAAAGGAAGTACAAAGACAAAACTGCTCAAACAAGACAGTGATGCTTTCTCCCACATAGCCCCAGCAGCCACGAGGTATAGAGATAGATCTATATATCCTCGAGCGACGGAATTTTCCTGACCCGGTCTCTGCTGCCTGTATAGGCTAACCGAACGCCCGCGGGTCCATCTGGAGCCCAAATACAGGGTTGGAGCAGACTATCGATGCTCGAGAAGCCATGACAAGGATGTATCTGAGTCAGGAGAGCGGTATGGGACGACGTGGGATGGGGAAGGAGAGACGCGGAGAAGGGGGAGATCAGTTGTGGGATGTCGAGAGTCCTGGACTTTGTTTGCTGTGGTTTTCCCTCCAGTTGGCATAAATGGTATGCGTACACTCCGTATGTTGTAGAGATCTTACCTTGTAACCAGCCCTTGAGTCTTCATCAGAAGGATAGGAATATCCGCCTTTGTACGACTGCTCCAGTCCTCCTGTCGTCTACCCCAAAACAGCGGGCACCGAGTCTGGGGTATCGAGGCGGAGACCAAAAAATCCCTCGGACCCGCCCACTGATTGCCATGCCACGTACGCTTTCATCGAGCATGTTCATACTTTCCCCCTGCCGCTGTCGGATGGGGCCGGCACATCCAAACATACTTTTATGCCAGGAATGCGGAGTTGATGCGAGTCGACGACTGCGGGATACGTTGGGAATTCTTGTGAAACAGTGGTAGACATCATTTGTGCGGGCTGCAAACCCCTCCGACTTGCCGGGGTTTTCCTTCTCGGGGACAAAGGGACTTCGGTTCTCAGAGGATATGACTCTCCATTACATCGATTGATATGTTGAGGATCGGCCAAAAAGTACAAATTGCTGACTCGTTGCCGCTCCCATTGCACTGACAAGGCCTTGTATCTCGTCGGCCACTCGCCCCCACTACCGAGGTCAAAATCTCCTTGGGATGAAGTCTCCCATCTTCACGGATCTGAATGCTGTTCGTCCACGACATGGGATCCCCTTCTTTAGAAGAAAGGGTCTTCGTTCAGGACACGAAGCGAGATGGAAGGTCACAAAAGAATTCATCAAAAGCTTCGACACATGGCCGAGCCCGCTAGCGCGTAAGGCTGTTTACTCCTTCCTTAACGAGGCGGATAGCTGTTTTTTTCTGAACTTTTGTTGTGTATTCGCACGGGACAAGACAAGACAGCATGCATGAGAAATATTATAACACACATCTTATAGAGATCTATAACTGCCTCCTTTCCTCGCGGTCCTTTACGTCGAGGCATTGGAAGAGTCCCACACACGTGCCCCGCACAAGGTCGTGGGCCTGTTCACTTTGCCGCTGACAATAAGAATTTTACCTTTTGCCTTGGCGGTCTTTGCACGGCGGCATACTTGCCTGGAGCGGCCGCCAAGGTCTAACAAAGTTTAGGCTTCTTCCTGCTTAACTTTGTCCTTTTGGCGCCCCCTGGCCCCTGTCATTATCATATCTCCCAATTGTGCGCATCTAACGTATGTGAGTAAACGACTAAGAACATGTATTCCCAGCCTATCCTAACTCGCTCCTATAACGTTCCCCGACCGAAATGGAATTCCCTCCTATCACACTGACTTGGACACTTAATGCACACCGTGATCCTCAAAGTCATCCAGCCCATGCTGATGCGGATGACCCGTCCCAAAGAGATCCTCGTCATAACCGCCATCGTGTCCCTCCTCATACCCAAACCCCTCCTCGTCGCCCATGTCCCCATGGTCCTCATAATCGTGGTCCGGATACCCTTCGTGGTCAATCCCCTGGTGGCCCATGTGGTCCATATCTGCCTGAGAATAATGCTGCTCGTCCTCACCATGCTCAAAGTCTCCACCGTGCCGATTGTTGATGTGAGGCTCCACTCCGCCTGCGGGATCCTCATCCATTTCATGATCTCTCGGCGGGGGTAGGGGGTGATCGATTGCGAATCTGACAGAAACCAGATCCCCGTTAGCCAGGCACGCCCCTCGCGAAGGAAATCGCCTTTCTGGAAAAGGTATCACTAGGACGGGGAGAAGATCAACTTACTGTGCTCTGCCGATCCTGTCATCCAACGCGGGCAACGCCGCCATCCGCAGGTCGGCTTGGTCCATCACGCCGGTGTGTCCCTCCCCGGCCGCGTGTCGTCCAGACCACTCGTATCTCTGGTTTGCCTCGCTACACGCGGTCACGGTTGTGTCAGAGCAATTCCCTAACTAAAAAACTTTTCTCGACCTGGGCAACCAAGCGAAAAAGTACTCGGGGCTCTTCTTGTAAACCCTTTGGAATGACTTACGTGAGCATCGACTCCCGCTGTCTCTTTAGCAGATCCAACTGCGAATGCGGCCCGTTCCTCGCATCCATCGGGTTCTGGCGTATCTCCTCCATTTGGCGTTGCAGCTCGTGCTGCTTCGCCTGCTCGGCCTTGTACTGCTCATGCTCGATGTCTCGGGGGTTGGTGGGATCGTGCGGCAGGAAGGTGCTGTTGCCTAGCGCGGTCTGGAAGTTGCCCTCTGGTGGTGTCGCCGGTGGCGGGTATTCATCATACTCGGGCGGAGTCTGGTATCGCTGCTCGGGCTGTGGCGGGGGTAACCTGCTAGCGGGATGCGCTGTCGGCGCGCGAGCGGGGTGTGGTGTCGATGTGCTCGTGGGATGCGGTGCTGGCGCGTGAGCAGGATGCATTGTCGATGTGCTGGTAGGACGCGGTGCGCTGGGGGGATGGGGTGCTGGCGCGGGAGCCGGATGGGGTGTCGCTGTGCTCGCGGGATGGGGTGCTGGCGCGGGAGCAGGATGCATTGCCGATGTGCTCATGGGATGGGATGCTGGCCCGGAAGTGGGATGTGGTGTCGCTGCGCTCGCGGGATGTGGTGCTGGCGCGTGAACGGCATGCGTTGTTGACCCGTGAGCGGGATGGGCTACTCCGTGAGCAGGCATCTCTCTCTCTCTCTTCTTTCCTTTTGGTCGAAGCAAAAGTTTAGTTGTCCGAGATATGTGCTCAAACAGGCAGAAAAAGGACTGATTGACCAAGAACGATGGGGATGACAAGTCTCGAGGAGAAACTCTGCGTGCAATATTTATACATGTACCTCGTACATCTCTATCTTTGTCTTTGTCCTTTCACCGTCCTCAGCCCTTCCCAGCCTGGCTCAGTCAAGAAAACCCCCCATATCGAAACCCATTCCCAAATCCGGAAGTAAAATCTCGTTGTTGTCATGTGCCGTGCTAACAAGTGAGTTGATGCGACCATCCAGCGCTGGATATAGCCATTTCCGTAGCCGTGGCCATAGCCATAGACATAGACATAGACGATTCTTTCTTCGCGAGCCAAAACGAAACATTATTGCCCCTTTCGGTAGCCGCCATAGAGGTAGATTACGAGCAAAAAGGGCTGACTGCCTAGAAGGTTTTGGATTAGGCGCGGCGTTGGTATATAGCTCGAATGGAAAACGCCACGGGGTAGATCGATAAGATGGCTGTCAGCTCTAACTAGAGCCTATTTCTGCTCTAGACTGATTGACGGTGAGATCGGACGCCCCCTCTCAGGCTCACAGATCCTTTGGAGTGCATGAGCTGGGTTGTGGAAAGGGACAGTGCGAAGCGTTGACGTGAACGGCCGTGGGACTCTGTATGGGATCAGCTTCAAGGTCATTAGATGCATCGAGACATACGAGGTACATGACTGACAATAGTGGGTCGAGTAGACAACTTTCTCGAGAAAGTGTCTTGGAGAGAGTGTCAACTACCCGAGGTTCATAGGGATGACTATACACCTAGTCGTGCAGGTTTCCCGAACAGGAAAATCTTGCATAGTATAGTATGTTGGCAGGCCACTCTATTGAAGTGGTCCCGATTCGCGAATCAACAATGTCATCTATTTCCCTTTTCGGCATTCACGTGACATTGCCTTGCCGCACTAGACTGTCTTGGCTGTCTCGGTCCGTTACATTTACTAGACCTTCCCTCGGGCACCGTGTCTTCAAGCCACATGAGAGACGAGAGGCCGCTTCTAACAATAGGATAGCTTGATAAGGGCCCCTATGTTAGAAACAGCCTGTACGTGCGATCTAGAAGCGGGATGTATAGGGACGGCTCACTCGATTCACCCTGACTCGCGCGCGACTGGGACGAGCTCACTCACTCGTAGGGCGGCATCACCCTCGTCCTGATTGGGGGGGAGGCGCTTCCCCATCACCATGGAGTGCTTGGCAGCGATGTTTCTCCGCAAAGAAAAGTTTCGAGCAATAAATAAATGAACGCAGCGCTCGCAAACGCATTTTGATACTTTGTACAAACCTGCGCTAAAGACGCAACAAAAAACCCGTTATTCCGATTACAGCAGTCCGTCTCGAGTTCTCAACCTTGTAACTTTCAACCCTCGAGACGACAACTCTCTAGCCAACTACTCCGGCCCTGCCCTCAAGCCGCTAAACACCACTGTCCGACACCACCGCCCAAAATGCGCGCCCGCCGGAGCAAGAGATACCGCAAAATCATGGCGGCCTACCAGCGGGGCTTCTCGTTCCACGAACCCTACCAGGTCCTCCTCGACTCCCACTTCCTCAAGACGTGCCACTCGTTCCACATGCCTCTGCAAAAATACCTCGAGAACACGCTACACGGGCAATGCAGGATCTTCGTGACGAAGTGTACCCTCGCAAAGGTCATGGCGGACTGGGAAAAGGTCACCAACAAAGAGGGCAAGGCAAGAAGAGGGCCGCCGCCGCGACCGGATTTCCTGCCTCCACCGACAGAAGTCCCCCTGCGGCACTGCAAGCACAGGGACGACGAGGGCCAGGAACTGGGCGTCGTGAGCGAGGCTCGCTGTCTCCTCGATCTCCTGGCAGGTCAACCGCACGGAAACGAACACGCCAAAAATAAACAGCACTACATCCTGGCCACGGCGGACGCTGACGAGAAGGAGGCACGGGCCAAGGGATTCATTGACGTGAAAGAGAGGGCGAGATTGATCCCAGGAGTGCCGATCGTGTACGTGAAGCGGAGTGTGATGATCCTGGAAGAAATGAGCGGTGTCAGTGAGCGCACGGTCCGGTCACAGGAGAAGGAAAAGTTTAGTCAAGGATTGATCGGACTGGCGTCCCGCAAGAGGAAGAGAGGCGAGGGAGAAGAGGGAAGTGAGGATGACGACGATGACGATCTGCTTGCGGAAGAGAAGCAAGGCCCTAAAATCAGAGGGTTGAAGAGAGCAAAAGGACCGAATCCGTTGAGCGTCAAAAAGAAAAAGGTCAAAGTCTCGTCAGCGAGCGGAGCGGGCCAGCATGATGGAGAGGCCGTGGTGCGGAAAAAGTCCAAGAGAAGGGGTACTAGAGGGCGGCGAGAGACGAAGAACAAATCGACGTCGGACGCTCAGGATGGAGGTGAAGCTGGGCAGGCGACTATACCTGCTTCGGCTGGGACCGTGACAGCGGAAGCATAGCGGCTAGAGCAAGCGATGAGCTCTAAGAAGTTATGGAGTTGAGAGGAGTTTCTGTCTTTTTTTATCGAGTCCCTGGACATGAACGAGATACCCCATCCACGACGGACCTTGAATGTCAATATTTCCTTTTCAACCTGCTCCTCCCAGGTGGACACTGCTTGCCATACCACATTCATTACGCTTACCCACAAACTATCATCGCCTTTTTACTTCTCTTCGTTTCCCCATCGCAGCCTCGGCTCTCCCTATGTCTTCCAGCTCTTGCTCTTCTCCCTTCCCAGACCCTTCACTCACTCTCTCTTACTTGGCCAAGAACGCTCTGCCGTATATGAGCAGGCCCGTGACGGCCAACACGCCTAGCCCCGCGGGGAGGGGTTTGCCCGTCTTGATGGCGCGGGGGATGCTGCTGCCGGCGAGCAATACAGAGGCTAGGAGCGCGAGCTCGACGCCGTACGGCTGTTTCTTGGAGATGCGGAAGCCACCGAGACCGTACTGCAGTAGGGGAGGTGACAATGGTCGCTTGCGTTAGCCAAAACTTCTTCTCCTCAGGGTATGATGTGTTCGAGAACAAAGAGGGTAGGGTAAACAGTGAAGACGCCAAGAGTCCGAGAAGTAACACGGCTATAGCTAGGTAACATAGCACACATGCGCCGTTCTGGGTCGGGTCGGATCGGGTCATGGCGAGGAAAGCGTGTGTTTGCGTACCAGGATTCCAACCGTGAGGCCGGCGGTGATGCTGGGGATACTGCCCGTGCGCACGTAGCCGGTGATGCCACCCACCGAGGTGAGCGCCGAGAGGATGTATGCTGGGACTTCGGAGGCCTGTGCACCCATCGCCCACGAGACGAATGTTAGTAACTCCGTTCTCTCTCACTCATTTCTTGCTATTATTGTCCAGGGGGGATGGAATTTCTTCCTTGAAGAGGGCGAGGAGGTGGGGGAAGGGGGGTGGTGGTGTTGGTGTTGGTGTTGACGATGATGGTGGGGGAGAAACAGAGGGAGGGAGACTGCGGGTTGGCGAACCATTCTTTGCTTTGCTTTGCTCTGCTCTGCTCTCTACTTCGAGTCTGCCACGTTCTCCGTGGGGTGCGTACGTCGTACTATATCTGGACACGAAAAAAAGACAATCTAATTATCGGCTCGCTATACCAGGGTCGGGGTGACAGGACAAGGGGAAGAAGTTCGACTTGGTGCTATCAATAAATTGTCATCCGATTTCGACAGGTGACGTGACGTTTCCGCAGGCCGTTGCTGCAGGGGCAGCTCCAACGCTTCGGAGCTGATCTCTTCCGTCCGCCGAGCCTGACTCCGACTCCATTGGCACTCTGGCACTACGAGGTACTAGAACACGCCACAGACAGCCTTCTACAGGGACTTATTGGGAGGGAAACAAGGATATTGCGCACTTGCAGACCTCTTGCTGAACATGGAGTGTTTGAAACCATTAAAAATTATATTACCTCAAGGCTGGTCCCGGACCCGTCGTGAACACCTGTCTATATGCATAAGTATAGGTATATATCCATCATCATAGAAGAAATTTGATAGCCAAGCACAGCATGGCCACGGTGCTGGAAAGGGGCCAGCTGTTCAAAGAAGCTACACCATTGGTATTGGTGTTGGTATCGTTGTCGCTTGAACTGCTGGAGTTCGTCGTAGAAGGAACGTTTGTCGTATTCAGAATGGCAGTCCCGTTGCTTGCATTTTGATTGTTGCTTAAGCTAGTGCTGTTCGTCGTTGAATTGGTATGTTTTTGTGACACCTTGGGTTTGTTGTAGAAATCGCGGATAACGATGCTTGCCTGTTCAGCTAGTCCATAGGTCGAGGCCATAAGATGTGCTGAGAATGATATAGGTGGTACACTCGCGTCGGCGACACGGACGTTTGACAGCCCATAGACGCGCAGGTTTGCGTCGACCACGCCACCTTGCTCGAGAGGCAGCATGGCACACGTGGAAGAAGGGTGAAATTCTGTAAATATCACTCCACGGAGCCAGTCCTCCCATTCCTGGTCAGTTTGGACGTCTGGGCCGGGCCACGTCTCTTTGGTCATGCTGCTGGCTAACGGTTCAGTTTCGCCCAACCGACGAGCGAGCTTAACGCCCTCGCGTAAGATCTCAACGTCTGTGATGAAGGAGTCAGTTTCAAGGTCTCAAAGGTCCATCTAGGGGCCACAAAGAAGAGCACATACCAGCAGGATGATTCAGATAATTGGGATTGATAACAGGATAATCCAGTGGATTAGACGAATTGATGGAGATCTGACCATGGCTGAATGGATGCTGGAGGTTGGCTCCGATTTGAATGGAACCGTCAGTGCTGAGTCCAATGACCAGCTCTATTAACCCAATTGGACTCGTGAGAATGGTGTTTGCTGTCGTGCCATAAATCGCCTTGTAGCCGGAAATCACGCTCGCATCGGTGCTCGTGTCCGGGATAAATTGGTCAATTTCGCCCAAGATGCTGCTTTGAAGGCCGGGGACTCCATTGCCAAATAGAACCGAGGAATTCGCATAGGCGGTCGCGCTGTTGACATATGACAAGAAAGCAGGGTCGTTCTGTGACCATTAGCCAATGAGTCTGAAGTGGATTGAGAGCTGTCCAGGCTGTACCTTTTTAGAACTATCGTCATTGTATATCGTGCCTGCAGTCTCTGCATCCGTGTCCCACGTTACGGTGACACTCTGTTTCAGTCAGTAGGCGTTGTTGATTGCAGATAAGAACGGCAGCTTACTATGTGATCTTGAAGATGCTGGCCGACACCAGGAAGCTCCGACACGACAGGAACACCTGCCGCATCTAGGACGTCCTTTGGCCCGACACCACTGTATAGTAGAACAGCCGGGCTGCCAACGGTACCAGCAGCAAGAATGACCTCCTTCTTGACTCCCACTGTAAGCTTGTTGCCACCTCCATTCAGAACATATTCGACTTGGTGGGCCGTGAGGTTCCCGCCAGAAGTATTGTTGAAGATGATGCGGGTGACCTGGGCGTTGGCCAGAACATCGTAGTTGGGACGTGGTGGCAACGGATCGAGGTATCCAGAACGGCTGTATGAACGCGTCCAGTTGGTCGGGTTAACAGCGACTGTAGCGACGTACGCGCCCCAATTGTCACCACCGTATGCGTCTTGTGTGGTACCTACTCCAGCGTTGTTGGCAGTGCTGGACCACGCACCAACCAGTGGCAAAGTACTGATAAGGTGGTTAGTCCATATTCATACGCGTAACAGTGCAGGGAACGTACAAGCCTGGGTAGGACATGTGAATTGGCCCTTGGTTACCGTGGCTTGCCGGGTTGAAAGTGATGGCAGCCTCTTGTTGAATGGAAGCATCGACAGGCGGGCCGAATGTCTCACTCTTCTTCATCGCGGCGAACATGGAGTCCCAAGACCAATTGTCGGCGCCGTCCATATCACCCAGCATAGCTTGCCAGGCATTGACTTCGATTTCACCCGGTCGGTTCAGGTACATTCCGTTGATGGCAGAGCTGCCTAGATAAACCACCCCGAGTCAGTTCCCGCATCGGCACAGTCAGAGAAAAACAGACGAACCTCCGAGGACCTTGCCTCGAGGCCATGGGCACTGGGAATTATTCGCGTTCGGTTGAGGTGTGGTTTGGAACGCCCAGTTGAGTTCCGTCGGCCATAGCGATTCGTAATATGCATATGCAGGTGTGTCTGCCCGCTGATTAGCAATTGGGGCGATTTATCAATGGAAAGGGCGTCCGCACCTATTCGTTCTCGAAACTCGTCTCCATCACCACCAGCCTCGAGGACAAGAACCGTGTGGTTCGCATCTTCTGACAGACGCGCTCCAAGCACGAGACCGGCCAAACCTCCACCCACAATGACAAAGTCGTACGAGTCGGCAATGCTCGTGCTGTCAATGATGTTGCGTGCTCGAAGATGGGGTTCCCTGGGTTCGTGTGCAGAGGGAGCAGCGGCCACTATCCCAGCGCCAGCGGCCAAAACGAACGACAGAGAGCACCGCATCTTGTATCCTGCATATACCAGTACTGTTGTGTGAAAGACGAGGATACGCGCAGGGCGAAGGCAGAGATAAATGGAACGGCATATTGAAAGAGACTAAACAACCCCAGTGCCCGTGGATATTCATATCCGTTGACACTACGGAAGCCAACGCGCAATAGCAGGCTGGTAGCGGTTGATGTGCGATGGGTCAAAGACTTCCAGCCCACTCTTTTAAAATTATGTACACAACTAAAACTTAGCAATCACCAATCGAGCACACGTGCTCTATTCCCAGTCGAGTCAGGTCGGCCAAGTAGTGTGTGGAGCATGGCAGCGCCAACATTTTTGAGCAGGTTCATGTTTCGCCAAATGGTTGATCTCGCGAGTTGCCAGCCATCATGAGTAGCATGTATTTTTTCTCCCATCGACCGACCAGGGGTGGAGACTTTGACAGCATCCAAGATAACGAACGGCGCTTGTACTCGCGGATTAGGGGCGGGCGATCTTGACTCTGGAGGAACCCATGCGACTGGTTCGGAGGGTCAGAGGGTTTCAGCTTCGCGAGGGTCAAAAGCACCCACTGGAAGAGGGGCAGGACGGCGTTGACTGGAGACGAGTCGGTGGAGTGATGATTTGCAGAGGGTAATAAAAAAGAAAAACAACAACAATTGATTGTGAGCATGTGCTGTGGTGGTTCCCCAGAACGGGGGCTTGACGTACAAAATCAGGGGCGGGAAAGTTAAAGGGGGTTAAGCTCATGCCGGTGAAACTAGCAGCCGACACCCTCGGCACAAGTAGGCGAGGCTGGCGATTGGGCACGTAATGGGTGGAGATAGGCAAAGTCCGACCTTGTACCGTTAGGGCAGCACCCTTCGCTTTCCCAAAACGGGCTCATGCATTGGTGCTGGCCACGTTGCCTCACAACTGCTTTTTGACACATGCGCTCGATGCCTCAACCAGCCTCTTTGAATTAGTCGATCCTCACCAACAGTTAAACAGTTGTCACAATGGCGAAGAAACCTGCGGCTCAGTCTCCAGCCACGAAAACAGCTGCTCCTGTTGGCGGCGCTGCCAAACCTCCTGCTGCAGCATCACATACCATCAAACCCTCCGGAACCATCACCTCCAATCCAGCTCCTATCAAGCCTCTACAATCAAGTACATTATCTCCTCGCTCATCTCCACAGGAGATCATCATCCATGTCTGGAACAAATACCTACAAGATACCCCTTCGCGGACCATGCTGCTGGATGTCTTCATGGCCTGGCTAGTGGTGGTTGGTGGTCTACAATTCCTCTACTGTGTGATAGCTGGCAACTATGTATGTCTCCTCCCTATTTCCATTCGATGAGTTTGCTGACCCGTCGTGCAAATGCAGCCCTTCAATGCCTTCCTTTCAGGCTTCTCCGCCGCCGTAGGCCAATTTGTTCTCACCGCTTCATTACGCATGCAAACCTCCGAAAAAGCACCCGCGGGCGCATCTACGACAACGAAAAAGTCGACGACAAAGACTATCGATGGGGTCACCGGAGAATTGGTCGAGAACACAAAAATCAGTTCCGAAAGAGCGTTTGCTGATTTCGTCTTTGGAAGTCTGATATTACATGGGTTTTGCGTGAACTTTATCAACTGAAAGAGAAGAGAGGAACCAATGCGATACCCGGTGGTCACGGTCACGCTGTACGAGCTTGCAGACCTTCCGAGAATTCATGGCGTTGATTCGACAACCCAAGCTGGTGGTTGTCCTCGATGCACTTTCGGCTAGAGTGGAGGACGCTTCTTGGTAGCGGGCGCCAGATACGAGTGTCTTTGAAGAGCGCGTCAAACTCTGGCACGGCGGATAAAACCTTGACGAGACAGCACATCAACTGTACTCGTACACAAAAGTAGATGTATACTACAGGAAAGGAATCAATGGCGGACTTCGACTTCGTCTTGGCCATACTGGCAAAGTCTAAAGAAATTGTTATGCCTACAACAATGTCGTCTCTGCAATCAAGACCCTGATCCAAACAAGATGTCAATGAACGCGGGCAATTACCCTTATTATTTTCGTGTGATTGACGTGCCACCCTGTAATTATTCGGTACCAAATTTCCGTTACAATTTCTCATCTCGTATCGGATCTCCCGCATCTCCTCTTCCACACTCTGAGCAGCAAAATAATAATATTAGATATCAGGTATCCTCTCCAGGGCGTATCCTGACTCTTTTATCCTCCCCAACACCAATGTCGAGGTCTCGTTTCCCCTCTATCACCGGTAAGGACACAGCGCTCACTCGAGCTCATCGTGAAAGGGATTGATTTGATCCAACCTGAAACGCGCTCCAGGGCAGAGTGTTTCACGTTTCAGGTTTCAAGATGCTCACACTTGACAATAATGAACGCCCACCAACAGAAACCTCTTGCTACTACTATTACTGTTTCTCGCTCCCATCTCTTCGTTGTGTGCTGCGTTTCCTGCATTTACTACCGTGTGTTGTATTAATCCTGTTTATCGTTGTTTTTTGATCAGTATGAAGACCGAGCTGGCCTCTGTCCTTGCGGTGCTATGTTTTCTTGAGCCTGTCCTATTAGCGAGCGCGCTGGAAGCGCCCGCCGTGGCACATCAAGACCACCTAATTTTCCAGAGCGACAGTACTATTGAGACCGACGAGGGCAGCACGGTTGGTGATGGATTGGTCCGGGGTTCAGCGCAAGCGGAGGCCGATACCGATCTCGACACCGACAACTCTTTCGACGATGGTTTGGATGATTCTCCTTGGTCCCATAGACCAGTCTGTACCGAGTACTTGGACGAGCTAGAGGACCAACTGTGCGTCTACACGGACGCGACGTTCAGCAACGGTCGGGGCATATCGATATTCACGACGCCTCGGATTGCCGACGAGTTCGCCACGCTGCTGCCCTTCCAGGATCCCGATGCGCTCTCTTCCCGCGGCATCAACTCCAACAGCGATGCGGACAGGCCCTGGTACACGGCGCCAATCCCAGGCAAAGGGGTGGGCATGCTGGCGTCACGGGCCTTGCAGCGCGGCGACCTCATCACCGCGTACACCCCGTACCTGCTCGCGCACATGGAGAACGTCCTCTCGACACCCGAGCGCGAGAGGTTCCTCCGCATCGCCGTGGACCAGCTCCCCGTGGCCAGCCGGGACGTCTATCTTAACCTCGCCAAGATCTATGGCGAGCCGAGCGTGGTGGTTCAGGACGTGGTCAAGGCGAATGCCTTTGAGATGGAGGTCGGTGGGCGGATGCATCTGGCCGTGTTTCCAGAGGCGTCGAGGATGAACCATGCCTGTGCGCCCAAGTGAGTTTTTTTTCCCCCCAATGAATACACCTCATCGCTACCCCTTTCCCTTTTCCCTCCAGAACCCCGGTCCCATCGCATTCATTCCATCCATCCATCCTTTCCGACTGCCTTGTGTGGCGTGGCACAACTAACCCGGCCTCTTGTTGAAACCACAGCGCACAATACTTCCTCTCACCGACACTGCTCACGCACTACGTGCACGCGGTGCGACCGATCGCCGCGGACGAGGAAGTGACCATCTCGTACGCGCCGCCGCTGCGGCTGCACGCGGACCGTCAGGGCTATCTCCAATCGACGTTCCATTTTGGATGCACGTGCGCGCGGTGCACGGCGACGGCGGAGCGGACGGTGGCGGACGCGGACAAGGCGACCGAGGACATGATCGCGCTGCAGTGGGCGCTGTCGCAGTGGACGGCCAACTCGACGGCCAGCGTCAAAAAGGCCGAGATGCTCGTCGCCCTATACCGCCGCGAGGGCCTCGACGCGTTCCTCGATGACGCCTACGGCCACGCCGCCCTGACGTACAACGCCGCGGGTAGCGCCAACGGCGCCAGAAAATACGCGAGGTTGGCCGCAGAGGCCGCCCGCCTCAAGTACGGGCCCGACGCCGACATGGCCAGGGAGTGGGACAGGATCGTCAGGGATCCGACGAAGCATTCGAGCTGGAGGAAGAGGAAGTCGCCGTAGCGGGCCCGTGTAACGACGAAATCGCCGTTGCCGTTGCCAGAATAATGTATTTATATTATATCTTGACTGGAATGTCTGGACAAAAAGCAGATTGTCGAGAATGAGATAAAAGAATCTGTGGTACGTGATGAACCACATAGATTGAAGGGGGGGTTATGTTCGACTACAACTACTCATCAACTCTCTCTGTGTTCCCGGCTCTTCATCTCAGCCTCATCCTGCACCTATGCACTCACTGCTTCGCCCTGCTGCAATTCAGTCCTGATCGATCGGGCCCGTCAGTCCCACACATGGTTCCATTTCACTCATCCACCCATCAATCCGAGCATCCCTCATAATGCATATTTTTGTCCCCTTTTTCCCAACCTTCGCTCCCCCCTTGCTTCCTGTGCCCCGAAAGATGCGTGTTATATAATGACAGTGGGTAAACCTTGAAAACCTGCACACAGATGCGGAGAACCGGTGAAGAGGTCCAGCGTGGCTTGACATGTTGGATGCCATTCCATCCGTCCTGAAGTCGTCTCCGGCGAACTGCTGCGACCTCCCTTATCCACGCGGGTAGTGATGCAACAAATAGACAGGTTGCCATCGTCGAAGAGAGCAACAACTGAATCCAATTCGGTAATGACAGACAACCACAGCTGAAACAGATGACGAACCCGCAGTTGAGTATGATCGACCGGTAGAGACTGATAGCCGCGTGATGAAATCGTTCGAGCTCCCGATATATCATCCCACATAAGAAAACACGAGCTCAAACCAGTGATCGCAAGTCATAGGACGAACAAGCAGCCCATCGCTCCTACTTTGCACCTCTTGCTCAACCCAGCTCTGGCATCATTCTGCATGAAACATGTGCTCCCACTCCACTCTTCCACAGACCTCCATGTGCACATCCTTGTAAACCGCAAAAGCAATTTCAGTACACCGTATCCATGCAGCTCTTAGCCAGAAAAAAGCAAACCTGTATGCATAAATTTCCAACCATGAATTGCTGCCCAAGTGGCAAGGAGTTGCCCCATTCCGAAAGCCGTATGCTATCTCGCCGACCCTTCGGGGTAATGGAGGGATTTATGCTGCAGTCTTTTCTGTCAAGTTTGATAAAAACCATGATATGAACAATGATATAAACATGACGTGACAAAAGTCACAACAGATGGGGTATCAGATAGCCGCCTGCTTAAACACGAAAAATTAAATCAAAAAACATATGTCGTCGAACCCTAGGTTGATATTCATGGCCCTCAACATTAGCACCCAGTAACAGCACTAAAAAGGGTTCGTTATTATTTCAGGGCCAAGTTGTTTAGATTCCACCAGTGATTGAACCAGAGAAACCTGCCGAGTGTGGTGCCCTGCTGCTTTTGCCGTTATGCTGGGTGATATTCTGTACTATATCTGCCTCGACCCTGTGTAGCGTCAAAGAAGGAGGAAAGAAACTTGCAAAGGCCTGAGCCGTCAGCTCCGCAACCTAGATCTTGGCTGCGTTGGCGACAGTCACATGCTCTCGACTGTTTTCACGATGAAGGTTGCCGTGGACATGACCGTTGGAGCTTGCATAGAAATAACCGTTTGATGCCAGATTGGGATCGTCTCTGGCTAGACTGCCAGGGCCCACGATTTTATCTTCGTCGACGCCTCTCAGTTTGGAACAGGCATTGCCCAGTAAGCCTGCAGCTTCATGCGTGAGCTCCCATCTTGTGCTCTCAAAAGACTCCTTCAATATCATGAGCAAGCCAAGGCATCGGTTCTTGCCTTTTACGTTTTCAAGATCATCAGGTGCCCGGACGCCGGCGACTCTTTCAAGATATTGCCTCATGTCTCGCTCCTTTTGCTCATAGGTTTTGAATTCCGCTTCGGTGGGCGGGGGCTTGATCGGGCCTTCTAGCGCGAAACCGTAACACCAGACAACGAGGGCTGATATGTACAACACCCAGGGGCGATTCAACAGAAAGTCATCACGAGCGATGTATTGGTTGTGCTCGAATGCTTGAGGAAGGATTGGGCTGGCGTGGCCATACAAGCGGCCGCTGATCCCATCCAGCCCATCGCCGTCCGGTGGAATGAGAACCTGAACAATAAACTTGAGAGCATAGAACGCTGCATCTCTTGCCGAGGCTTTTGTCGCCCATCGCTCAATCTTTTCGCGAACTACACTGTAATCCTTTGGTGTGATTGAGCGTCCGAGAAGTCTATTTGCGCCAGCAAAGACTTGGCAATCGACAACATCGACATGGGCGGCAATATGTGCAAGATGGTGGAGCACTGTTCGTGACTCAAAGATGTTTTCATCATCGACCGGGCGTAAAATCGGGTGTGGAGGCGCAACCGGAGTCCGCAACGGGGAGGAAGGGGCCGGAGTGGCTTCAGCCAGAGCCTCGTCAAAATCTCGCTTCCAGTTGTCAAATGCACGCAACAGAACGCCTTTCCACTTGTCTGGTCCGCCAAAGGAGTTTGCCGTCCGCGGTCCAAGCGAGGAGATTTGCAAATCTCTTTGAGTCATATGCCACGAGACGGAGAGTAGACCCGCCATGATGATGGTACGGCCGAAAGAATTGGTGCGGACTCTCTGCCCGTTGAGCGTTCTCTTGAGGCCTTCAAGAAACATTATTGGCTTGATCCCATTGGTCTGTAACGAGGATTGAACTCGAGCAGCCTCGGAAGGGGAGACAGCCGACCAAAGACCTTCATCACAAGGTAGAGGCAACCGCATCTCATGTGCAACCATCTTCGCAGCATGACCAAACATCGTTGCATGAATAGAATCAAGCACAAATGCTCCGAACGCGGCACGACGTGTCGCTTCGGTAGTGATCCATCGATGCCAGGAATCTTCAGATTTAGAGGCCTCCGCTCCAGTAAATGGTACCGATATCCGCCCATTGTCCTGCTCTCCTCGGAGACTAGGGGGGGAATCGGATGCTGAACGCCCGAGAAGGGAACTGCCGCGGCGCATGAGGGTCAAGGTCGAGTCGTGGTGAATATGGGCTCTTTCATGCAGCGCCCGTGTCGCATACATCTTCTCATATACCTCAATAAGTAGAAGAGTCTGGAAGACCCAGAGCTTTGCAGGAGGTCTGAAATCGACGTCTCGGACAATTTCCCAACGGAGGTGCCAAACAACGAAATTGGCGAACTCCGCCGCAGAATCGGTCAAAGTCGTGCCGTAAGCTTTGTCCAATGTCGCAGCGCCAATGGCGATGACCATGAGTAGCAGAAGGTTGGGCGTCCGATCGGCAGAAAAAGTTGGCTTGTGCAAAATGGGTAACTGCGCATGTTGGTGATACCAATAGGAACCAATGTAAGTGTGCATCATTCGCAAACTCAAGATATGACCGTCACTGTCAAGGTCACCCTCGAACACGGAGTCCTTTCGTTTTTTCACCGCATCGTGTGGACGTTCGACAAATTGGGTCTGCATCAGATCGAGGAGCTCGTGACGCTTGGACTCAGACATTATGTATTGACTAGTGACTGTTGAGTCTAGAATGCTGGTCACACTCATGGGATGTTGTAGGCCGGCGCTTGTAGAGTAGTTATTGCCAGATGATGAAGGACTTTGAGAGAAATACGGACCTTGAGCTTGCTGCTGATCGTGGCCACTATAACCAGGGACGTAATTGGGTGGCGAGAAGCCGTTAGAACCGGATTGGGCATCGTTGAAGAGCCACTGCGTAAAATCGTCCATAGCGAATGGCGTCTGAGTAAATTCATCTCCGCCAAAAACCGGGAAACCAAAACCGGTACTGATATCCACGTTTGACATGCTGGTATTGAGCAAAGAGTATGGGAATGGATCATTCCTCGTCAACCCATGTGAAACCGCAGCAGCAAACGCAGCGTCTGCCGTTCGCGACACGCCGGCAGATGGGTAGCCTGCAGTAGAGTACGCAGCAGCGGAAGCCATATCGACAGACTGTATATAGCCGTTATTCAATGCATTTCTGTCCATGGGACCGTCGGATTGTGTTCGCACAGGCTGCAGGGGAGGCCCGGATGTGCCGGAATATTGCCGAACCGGCGATGGTGGGACATTCTGCCCCGAGTTCCTGTCTCTTGCTTGCGCCTGCTGCGCATAGGCACCCTGCTCTCCTCTCTGCTCCGCATTGTTGAAACTTTGTCTCCGGACAACCGAAGACCAGCTCTCCTGTTTCTGCGGTGGACTCATTGTGTGGCTGCCCATGCTACTGGTGCGATGTACTGATGGTTCCGGCCTGGCAACAGTATTTTGCGGCCCGGGATGATGAAATCTTTGTTCGGTGGACGCCACCGAGGTAGACCCAGTATTATTGGCAATATGAGGTTGCTGTCCGTAGTGGTGATTATCGATTAGATGTCCCTGTGGCGGGCCGAGAGGCTGGCTCTCTTGAGCGCTCTTGACGCTAGGAGCAGCCATTGGATAAGTTTGAGGCTGGCCAAGGTGCTGTTGAGGTGCCATCGCAGGTATGATCTGGTTATTCGAGGTAGATTGAGCGAAGGCATCCCGCTTGTGGAGCTGAGAGCCATGGGTTGTATGTCGTTCCCGATGTCGAATACAAAGATCTTGACGTACAAAATACCTACTGCAATCGGGATAATCGCAACGATAGATGGTCTTGGGAGTATCTTCGAGAGACAATTAGAGGGGGGAGAACTGACCGGGCAAGATGACTTACGGTTTAGTTGGTGCCTATAGAGATGCTCAGCACGAGAGTAGCTTTTACCGCAACCCTCGTGTTTGCACTCGAATTTTTTGTCTGGGTTTGGCTTCGCAACCCTCCTCCTCTTCTTCGGCGGCAGTCCGCCTACATTTTCGGCGCTCCCGTCGGCGGCCTTGACATCGTCGGATGAGCCGTTTTGGGCGAGCGAATCATGCTGTCGTTGTTCGACAGAGTCTAGCTCTGCCATGATATGTGACGGCCAACTGTCACAACGAGCCCGGAAGCCTGGCACTGGTCCAGGCGGCGATACAGGCAATTGATATCACGGGTTATGCAGCATGATCGGAATACCAATTATTC